AGACCTAAATTTATTACTCCAAAATGAATTAATAGCATGTCTAACGGATTGTTTCCATTTAATTTTTGTTGGAAGAAATATTAGAAGCTCATCAATGCTTGGTAGGCTATATTGAAGCAGGACATTTTCTGTTCTGTGTAGAAAAGTTCCATTGCAAATTTCTAACCGGTACTGACGCAACAAGATATCCCTAAGATTTTGATTTTCAGACGCTAGGATTGAATGCAGAAGGCTTAATTGTCTTTTTGTGGAGCTCGGCCTCTATAGGTAGGGCACCCAGTAGTGAGAATACTGCAGCAGAAGCTGTTCTTGTTGGAAGAGCCTGAATATTTTTTAAGAAGGATAAATGGAGTCACCCAAGTCGTTTGGCTGTTCGTAAGAGGTAAAACTTCTAGACTGTAGAGCAGACGGGGTAATATGTAGATTCTATAAATACTATAGGAAATCCTTGGATTCAAGCCATTTGTGCCATGCACACCTGTTGACATAAGTGAATAGGTTGTTCTTCGGGCTAAACTAATGCGGTCTTTCACATTTATTATATTTTCATTTTTTGATGATCTTATAATACCTAGATGTGAGGCCTTATCTGTCTTTGAAACGGACTTATCCCCAAGAGACCAGGAGCATATGGATGATTTCCTAGAGTTTGTGGAATTTTCATTTTGTTTAATGAGAACACTCTTTTCAGGGTGGATATTATATTAATGTTCTTTCGAATATGAGTCTACTACATTGAGCATGATTTGCATTTCTTCATCCGAGTTAGATAAGAGTAGGATATCATCTGCGCACGTAGGACATCCTGCATAATTTGTGCCTAGATATAAACCAATATTTGAATCTTCTAACTGTCTTAAAAGGTCTTCAATATAAATTTTATAAAGATGCGTGGACAGGATACCACCTTGACGAACCTAATGGATGATGTGCTGTCCATTGTTTTTGGCAATTAACTTGATAACTATGAAAGGTAGAAAGAAACTAACAAAAATAATGTCAACAAACCAAGACCTCAAATAAGTTAGTATGACAACTATTTGTGACTGTTCGACTATTACGGAAACAACATTATTATTTGTCGAAAATGCATATCTATTGCAATACATTTTGTGTCGTATAATTTTATAAGTATGAGAATAAACTCATTATAGATGAAAGATAGCTTTCATTGTAGCTTATAGCTTTTGTATTGATTTTTTTTGCCAAGGGAGCATCTTAATCTCAAGGAAGCCTTCAGTTTATAAATTTTGAATTATCCTCTATGTCCTTAAAGATATTTCTACCTATTTGGCAAAGTCGGACTAAAAGTAAGGCGAAAGATACCAAAGGGACATTCAAACTCATAAGTCGAAAATAAACTGACAGCGCCATGGCTCAAAAAGAAAAAGACAAACAGACAAACAGCAGTACACAAAACACAACAAAGAAAATGAAAGATTGAGCAACACGAGCCCCACAAAAAAATGGGGATGATCTCAGGTTCTCCGGATGGGTAAGCAGATCCTGATCCACATGTGGCACCCGTCGTGTTGTTCAAGTTAGTACAAACCCGGTAACAATTCTAATTCGGTAGATCACATTGGAAAAGGGGATGGGATTGTAGTTACGACATTTGGAACATATCTACTATCATATGTGAAACGGATATTCTATAACGGTCAACCAACTCGTGATGGCGCTCGTAAAACTAACGAAGGGATGATTTCAACTTCAACACTTGGAGTTCTTGGTTTAATTACTTCCTTGTGAGTAGCAACCCTCAAGGATATCATCATTTGAAATACAAGCCCTGGAATATCGTATCAACTGGGTGAGATATATATATACTTCGTATGCAGGTTCTGCTGGAATGTTGCTACGTATAAATGGAAAGTTCACAATTGGGAAGCTGAAATCATCTCTTTTGTCGTACAGTTTTGTTTTCAAGTTCAAGCGACTCCCTCGATAATTGTTAATTATCTAGATTTGTCTCTTTTAAACGGATTTATAAGATTTGAACATCGATAAACTATTGATGCCTTAATTTTTAACAAAATTTCTATAAAATAAGAATGTATGCGCTGCTGTTCAAAACAATTCATTCTCTATTGCACACAATACATGCTTTTTCTATTGTGTAGAATATGTGAAAACACACATAATTAGATAATAAGATACAAATCAGCCGCAGTAACTGCGTAACAGGAGCGAAAATACATAGATGTTTGAACATAGCTAACGAATCGAGTAGAAACATACAATAAACCTTTTGCAAATATTGATTCTATTTAACATAATACTAGTAGTTGGAAGCCATTAATGTGAACAAGTGAGGATCATGAGATTGTCACTTTCCGCATATAGATAAGCAAAGGGGATGACAGCGAAAAATAGAAAAGACACTCTTTCTAATGAAAAAAGTGAGAACATCAATAGGAAAACAATGCATGTGCCGATAATGATCAAAAGTTATTTTTAAATAACAATCGTACAGTTTAAAGAAATTATAAAAATTGTTATATCATATTATACATGCAAATAAATGATGTTTTATGTTCATTATTTATCGAGATAGTTGTATTAGAAGCTCGTGAAACTGAAATTCTTTGCTGCATATTTATACAAAATCATGTTCATACAAAATCTACACATCTTTCAGGTCACCCATTTTCGGAGAATTCCACATACTAGTAGTCCTTAAGCTTAGCATGTTACAATTTCCCAAAATATACCTATTTTCACATCTAAGTTTTCGAGTATACCGGTCTGCTTTTGTCCCGCAAACTTTCACTATAGAAGTCTTTTTCGTGAATATAACAAATTAAAAGTCGTATGAAGGTTCAAAAATTAAAAATGAATAATTTGATTAAGAATGTTTATATCCGTTTAAAGATTTTTACTGGTTTGTTTTATACAATTTTAAGAAAAGGTCGTAGCGATTTCTATACAGGTTTTTTTCGGTCTTCTAGATCTATTTGCATCCAATGTTTACATCGGGATAAGTTCCGTTTGAATTAGCTTAGTAACCGAATTTCAAAAAAATTAAAAGTTGCTGTATATCAATCGATTCCTTTTGAATTTTTACCCTGAACTTCTCCGATCTATCTGCATACATATACAGACAATTAGCATGTTCCAGAGGTATTCAGCCAGTAGAAAAATAATTTGTACACCAGGAATGTTTTCGCATAGCAACTTTTTAAACCAATTTTACACAGAGCTCATATAGCCTGCTGTACTCTTCGTTTGAGGAGGAAAATGATAGCATTATATGGAAATTTTGTTTTTATTTCAATTTATTTTTATTGTTACTATTTACCAGAACGTTTCCTTGTGAATTAATAATTTTAAATAACATCCTTGCTAAAATGGAACAAACATTGAAAAGATCAAATATTCAGTGATTACAGGGGATATGATATTTTGACACTAAATTTCCCTCAGTATAACGAGCATTTATATAACTTTATCAGATTATCAGGAACAAACCCCGAATCCCCAATAACATAAATACGTGTACATATGGAATATATAAGTATGCACCAACAATATTTTTGATGTGTGTGTGTGTAAAAATGGGTCAATTTCGTAGATACAGATATATAACAGTATTTGAAGCATATCATACATTTTACTAACTGGAGGATATTTCGTCATCTAACGGTTTCAAGCGGAAAGTTCATATTACAAATCCGTTACTAATATTTATCTGATGATTACGCTTAAGTCTCAATAGCTATTGTACCAACATAAATACGGTTTTAAATTAGTTTGTGCATGTACCCAAAAGATAACAAACTTCCTGTGAAGTTGAAAACTTGTCGAAATCTATCAAAATGGCAGTTTAAAACCGTCTTAAAGAATTATTAATTTGATTAAATTTTAAAAGGGCATTAGCTGTCAAATTCATGTTCACCGATTTGACTCAAATTTTCATATTTGATTTATAACATACTTAAATAAATATCCAAATTATAAAAAAAGTCTAAAATAAACAATTTACAATGCATGGGCTTGATAATATGTATCTGCATTTCGTGTGTATTTTAGTCTAGACTTAATTCATTTAATTAACCATCGAGGTGACCTCCGAAGACTGCCAACGGTCATAAAACCCGATATAAACATAAATATAGATATAAATAGATAGCGAACTCGTGCAATTGGATTTTTCTAGGTCTGTTTGATTTCATATTATAGTCTAAAATATATGTTAATCACCGTTTTTACTTGTATAAGAATGAGCTTTTGTGGATCGAATCAGTCAATCAAATGGTTTACCCTTGTTTCACTTTCAATGTTGATATTCTTTTCCTTTTAATAACTGAATACGCCTAATTCATGCGTAACCTATCTCTAGCTAAGGAGTTGAATTAAAGGTCACATGAATATGGACTCTCTGAGGTTGAATTATTCACTTGCAAGTGAATAATTCATCAGAGATGTTTCCTAGCTTATTTTGACAAAATTGAACCAAACTGGCTGCTAAAAGCAAATTATTACTTCACTATTTCACTTTCATTATTTATTGAACAAAACAAATCGATTTTTTTATATCTCGTAGCTAGTGCCCCTTTAAAGAAATGCGGCACAATGTTTTCAGTACTTCAAAATACACGCATGAAGTTTTGTAACTAAGACTTTTAGCAAATTTTGAATGACTTTTTGTTGCAAAATAAGTTAAGGTTTAACCTGTTTTGAGAATTTGCTTCATGGAGAAAAAATGGGTTTTTGAAGACATAATGAGGGTCTGAAAAATAATAACATCCACAGAACCTATTTTTAACTTAAAATGATGAAGATATTTTGTTTAAGGGTGAATCCTACACAAACAAGGTCATCTTTTACTTCCTTGTTTTCAACGTTTTTACAAAATGAAAAACCCAAAACGTTGAAAGCGCTTTAAATCCTATGAGGAAATAATACATGGTTTGGTCTTTATGAAAAAGACACATGATGGTATCATTTTAAATTAGTTCAATAACTAGATCGTTCGGAAGGAAGTTGAAATATTAAATATTAATTACCGACGAAAAATTAATATCATTAACATTTTGTCGGTGTATTAGTACTATTAGGAATGGAATTTTTAAATTTATACTATCTTTGCTTTATTTCTTTCATTCATGTTCAAGTTCGGACAGGGAAGAGCGATGTACCGTGTTTGAAAAGATCTTGCAATTTTAATGAAAAAAACACTAGTGCAAAATGTTGTGATTTAGAGTATATTCCGAAAATACCAAGTTCTGTAGTTAAATTGATATTGGAAAACAACCGTCTATCTCATATCAGCATGGACACATTTCAAAATGTTTCGAGCAATAACTTAACAAGTTTAACATTTATTGACAATTCAATAAAAGTATTGACTTCAGACGCTTTTCATAACATGAAATATCTGGAACATTTAGAAATATCGCATGAGAAGAAATTAAATATAACTAACTTGAAAATGTCGTTCAAAAGTTTAAATAAGCAAGTACTGGACACTATGAATTTTATAAACAATGGATGGACCATGATTCCAATGGATTTATTCTCTGATTTCAGAAATTACACGCTGAAAAAAATAATGTTTAATGATAACACATTTATGACTTTTAATTGCAGTCTGTTGTCGGAATTCTCACATATTCATCAACTTAATGTTGAAAGAAATGAACTAGTATTCTTAAATGCAAGTGGTTTACACTCAGTTATTGAACTTATTCTATCTGCGAATAACATGTTTGAAATTCCAAATTTCTGTGCCGATGAAGCAGGGCGGTCGTTAGTACCCAAGTTATCTCGCTTGGATATGACAGATAACGCAATTCGAAAACTACACCCAGCGTCTTTTAAGTGTCTACATAATCTAAACTATCTTATACTGGATAAAAACCGTCTAATGATTTTAGAAAATAGAATTTTTTCCAGTCTTTCAAATTTAGAAATACTTTCGATTAGTTGGATATCTCATCTGTCAGTAATTAAACCAGGAGCGTTTAATTGTTCTTCTTTGAAAGTATTAAGATTTGTTCACAATGGATTCCGTTTTGACAAGGAGAAAAATAAAAAGAAAAAACATTTATATAACTCTAGCGAACTGTTCATTAACACACAAAATCTGATGAAGCTAGATTTAACAAATAATTATATGCCAAAAGATCCTGTTATATTTCGGCAAATGTTTTATCCACTATCCAATTTAACTAAACTGATTTTACAGGCATCATATATAGCGACATTGCCGGAAGAATTATTTCAAGAGATGCCATTTTTAGAAATCCTTAATCTGAAAGGCAATAGAATTACAACATGGAATCAAAGTGTGTTCGAAAATCTGAAATCTTTGAAAACTTTATTGTTGGATGGAAATTACATTCGAGTAATAAATGAATCATCATTTCCGATCCAGTTATTGAAGTCGTTGAAAACGTTAGACATATCACATAATGAGTTCTGGTGTACATGTGCTCAGAAATGGTTTGTTGATTATTGTCGATCCTCAAACATTTCTAAAATACTGACACATTGGCCAAAATACTACGAGTGCATATACCCAGAGGACAAGAAACACCTTCTTCTCGTGGACTATAAGCCGACAGACGCCGACTGTTCAACATGGAGTCCGATTTTAACAATAATAATTGTTATTGTTGTTTCACTTTTTCTCGTAACTGTGGTGCTAATTCTAATGTTAAACTGTCAATCCAACATTCGGAATTTGATTTATCTTTTTCGAGTAAGTAAATGGAAGAGAAAAGGATACATCAGATTAAATTCCTCCGAAAGCTTTGAATACGATGCTTTTGTCATATACTGTGATTCAGATCGGCAATGGGTCCATTCGGAACTCCTTAAACGTCTTGAGGAAATTGACCTAAAAGTCTGCGTTCATTATCGAGATTTTGATGTTGGAGAATCCATCACAGACAACATAACAAATTATGTAGGCAAAAGTTGGAAAGTAATTGTTGTTATGTCGAACAACTTTACAAAAAGTGAATGGTGCCAATGGGAACTTGACCTTGTACAAGAAAGAAGGCGACGCCATGGAAAAGAAGCACTTATTCTTATAATGCAGAGTCAAATAGATTCAAGTCACATGACCAATTCTATCAGGTCTTTACTTGACACGACACCACATTTGCAGTATCAACAAGGGTTAGGCGAGGATCTGTTTTGGTCTGTGATTACGAAAGCTGTCATGAAACCATTCAAGGATCCCCCAACAGCTATCCTGTAGAGTCAACAATCTTATGTTAAAAACTCACTAATGCTGCCGGGATTTTAATTTGCTACGGCAGACGCACTTTTCGTCAACATTAGACAGTGGCGCTCAAATCATAATAGTTGGAAGACTTAATGATATACGAAGTTGAAGAGCATTAAAAACAGAAAATTCCGAAAAGTTGAGCTAAATGCGACTAATATCTATTCAACAAAATTATAAATTCATTTTGTTTAAACCCATTCGATTCGATTCATTTCTGGCAGGATGGACATATTTTGTTTTGGTCTACCAAGTAAAACATTGTAAGTAGATTGCCAGCCAATGTGAAAATAAAAGTAAAAAATGGCTATTTTGTGTACATTAATTTTGAAATCTTTTTAGGGTTGTTGTGAATAAGTGGAAATGTTATATTAAATAAGCGGTGAAATTTTCCTTCAGATACTACTTCTTGTTTACTGGATCGAACTCATTTGTTTGGTGTGAATTTTTCCGTCACTTTCATTACATTTTCTAAAATGATTAATTTCAATGTATGAAATTAAGTGGTACGTACCAATATTGCTGGACCAGATGAGCAATAGATACTTAAAGTGATGCTTGCGGCCAACACATTTGAATAAAGAAAACAAAACTTATTAAATTGAGAATGGAAATGGGGAATGTGTCAAAGAGACAACAACCCGACCATAAAACAGACAACAGCAGAAGGTCACCAACAGGTCTTCAATGCAGCGAGAAATTCCCGCACCCGGAGGCGTCCTTCAGCTGGCCCCTTAACAAATATATATACTAGTTCAGTGATAATGAACGCCATACTAAACTCCAAATTGTACACAAGAAACTAAAATTAAAAATAATACAAGACTGACAAAGGCTAGAGGCTCCTGACTTGGGACAGGCGCAAAAATGCGGCGGGGTTAAACATGTTTATGAGATCTCAACCCTCCCCCTATACCTCTAGCCAATGTAGAAAAGTAAACGCATAACAATACGCACATTAAAATTCAGTTCAAGAGAAGTCCGAGTCCGATGTCAGAAGATGTAACCAAAGAAAATTAACAAAATGACAATAATACATAAATAACAACAGACTACTAGCAGTTAACTGACATGCCAGCTCCAGACTCCAATTAAACTGATTGAAAGATTATGTCTTCATCATATGAATATCAGGCACAATCCTTCCCGTTAGGGGTTTAGTATCATACCATCATAACATATATGAGAAGAACATAACCCGTGTCATGCCAACAACTGGTTTTTAAATAAATGTGTTTAGTGCCGATGCAAAGACCCTATAAGTGAATCAATATTAACGCCAAAATATGCAATCTTTAATGACCTGACAACAGTATCGTAACTATATCCCTTCTTAATTAGTCTATTTAAAGGTTTTGTTAGCTTCAGAGGTGAATACTGACATTTTTGTGCTTTATAAAGAATATTTCCATAAAAAATTGGATGTGAAATACCTGAACGTATAAAAAGTCTGCATGTTGAGCTATATTTACGAATGATGTCCTTATACCGATGATAAAATTTAGTAAATGTTTTGACTAGTTTGTGATATCGAAAACCCTGGTGTAATAATTTTTCAGTAATACATAAATTTCTCTCGTTAAAATCTAAAACATTGTTACATACACGAGCGAATCGTACAAGTTGAGATATATAAACACCGTAAGATGGTGACAAGGGAACGTCACCATCTAAAAATGGATAATTAACGATAGGAAATGAAAAATCATCTCTTTTATCATATATTTTAGTATTAAGCTTTCCGTTAATGATATAGATATCAAGATCGAGGAAAGGGCAGTGGTCATTGTTAGTATTAGCTTTATTTAAAGTAAGTTCAACAGGATAAATTTGTTTAGTATACATACTGAAGTCGTCATTATTGAGAGCCAAAATATCATCCAAATATCTAAAAGTATTATTAAATTTGTGTATCAGATGTTGTTTCGATGGGTCTTTGCTGATTTTTGTCATAAATTGTAACTCATAGCAATACAAAAAAAGGTCCGCAATAAGTGGTGCACAGTTAGTCCCCATTGGAATTCCGATAACCTGACGATATACGGAATCTCCAAAGCGAACAAAAATGTTATCTAGTAAAAATTCAAGGGCATATATAGTATCAAAGCATGTCCAATTGACATAGTTTTTTTGTTTATTGCTACTAAAAAATGACCTAAAAGAGTTTGAACATATATATTCACATTCTGACTTTTTAAATGCCCATTTAATAAGGTGTGTGAATTTTTTCTTAATGAGAATGTGAGGCAATGTGGTATATAGGGTAGAAAAATCAAAACTTTGAACAGATTCAAAATCACCAATATATGCATGCAATTTATCAAGTACTTCCAACGAGTTCTTGACACTCCAAAAGTAATTAATTCCACTATTTTCGAAGGCCTTATTTGAACATATTTTATACATACTTTGATGAGCTGATCACACTAAAAAAGACCAAATCAGACCATGTAATCAGGGAAATATATTCCTTATTTTAGAATGATTTCCAAAATTTCATATTAGCAAATTTCAATTAAACAATTTCCGTATTAAATGTCGAAACCCAAGTATTGGCTATTATAGGCTGTTGAATCCCTCGGGGACTAACAGTCCACAAGCAGAAATATCAACTTAGTGGTAGTGTTAATATTAACGGTACCAAATTTACTGCACGTTATGCGGATTTCGACAATACATGTCCATTAAGTGATGCTCGAAGTCAAAATATTCAATAAAACGAAAATTGTATTTTACAAAAAGGACCAAAGTATAGCTTATTCCTAACAAGGAATCAAAGTTTTGCATGAGGGTGATATGTTCCTTCCTTGATTTAAAATGACAACTACAATTTCTAATAAACAATATACGTTTTGTTTTATGCCAGTACTGATTTGCTGGCTACTAGAAACTGGGCAGGTGATACATGCTCCTTGTCCTATGGCAAAATGTTAACATCTCTCTCTTATTTGTTAATTTGTTATGGGGTTTCTCAAAAGAACGAATAATAATAATAGAACAACAATTGAAATACATTTATAGATAAAAGATACCTCAAACAAAGTCAGATGCTACATATGTCAAGAAGAAACAACACATCCCTGCTTTTAATTACCATTATATATCCAGAAAATGTTTTAGAATTTTCAATCAGAGATGCTTATACATGTATATAAGATGACAACATGTCACATTATAAAATTCAAGATGTTTCACGCACGTTATGTTATACTAACATATAATGAAATAAAACGGTCAACTTTTGCATTAGTCAAATACTATACACACCTACTGCGTATGTACAATTTTTTTTATTAAAGAAAAAAACATTTTATGTCAAATGTCATTTATTTATTTTTGTTGCAATTCAGTGTTTCTGTTGTTGCGTTGTTTCCTTCTTATAGATGATGTGTTTCCCTCGGTATCAGTTTGTAACCCTGATTTGTTTTCTCTCAATCGATTTATGACATTTGAACAGCGGTATACTACTGTTGCCTTTATTTATGTAAACTGTCTTTCTTTACAGGTATCTTTGCCTCTATTTTACCCCTTTAAAGAAATTTTGCACAGAAAAGTATGATTATCATAAGGAGTTTCCTCCAATTTGTTTGCTGTTTCTACACCAATAGCCGACATTTATTTCTCGCTATTTCAATTTTCCTTTCTAATTAACAACGAAGCAGAACATATATTTATTTCTAGCTATTGTTTTGGATGTAAAAACTGGCGGCGCCCGTCCTTTTTATTTACATTCTATTAATCTCATACGTTATTTATGCATAATAATTCTGATTCCTGAAGCAAAAAACCATCAACGATAGACAACTCGAGTCTGTCTAAAGTATGAAATAAAATTATATTTCACCTCTTGAGCATACAATACATTCTTATTAAAAGATACTATTTCCAGTTCATCACTAGGATTGTTTCTAAATTAACATGTAACACAAATGAAGAATTAACAATACAAAAAAGTAACATCGACAACGTGAAATATTTAGAGTTTGTCTACTTTTCTCTTTATCTTTTTTTTAAATGTTAGACTACATTCCTCTCCTAGAATTAGCAAAATAATCATTATATTTAGAACGAAGAAATGCTGCTTACCTGTATTATATATTCATTGATATATTAGGTTATTAAAAAAGGGTATCCATATAAAACCATACATGTAAAATATACACAGTTTATGCATAATTGTTATTGTTGTTTCTGTAATTACATATTTTATTTATGCCATTAACTATAAACAATAATATGTCATATTCTTCACAAGATTTTCTTTTCATAACTTATTGAAATAAGATGAAGAACAATATTAGAAATGACATTATATATTATTGCATTTTCATTGCAGAAATATTGAATTGTGCACACATTATCACGAAATGGAATTCATCTTCCACCTCTATATTACATAAGGGGCAGCATTTTTTTTTTCTAAATCTGTTTTATTATATCTACTGCGTTCAATAGAAATCGTGCTGGTACTTATTCTCATACTTTTTCTTATTTTGACATAGTTTTTTATAACATTTTTTAAATCATAATTCCAAAAGAGATCTTTTTCAAGTAAGTTCTTTACTTTAAATTTTCAATACGTTCTTATCTTATTTCTCTTAGTGTTGAAGAACGTCAGGCGGGCGGCTGCCGACTTTATATGCATATATGTGGCATAACTTGCGAGCCGTTCAACCAATGCCTTTTAAAAGTGTTGAATTATGTTAATACTGATGGCAAAATAAAGGTCAAGTCCGATATTGACGATTTACACTTTTTCCGTTCAGGAGTAATGGTCCTTGATATATTAGAAAACAGCACTTTGTGTCGTTTGCTTGCAATAGCATATGAACCCTTCTCTCAATAGTTTTCAAATTATAGTATGTTGTTAATGATGAAAAATGTAGGTCAAATTTTATATTAACGACTATTTACTTGTACCGTTCACGAGTCCTTGATAGTTTGGAAAATAGCACTTTATGTTGTTTTTGCATTTTAGGAGTTATGTTCCTTGATAGTTTTGAAAATGCCATTTTGAGTCGTTTCCATGCAATGATTTATGAACTGTTCAAATAATGCAGTTACAATTTTGATATTTTGTTACTCATGACAAAATGGTCTAAAAAGTCTGATATTGACGATTTTCATTTTGCCGCTGAGGATTTATGGTCATTAAGGATTGAAGAATAGGCATATAACAAGGCAGGTCAAACAAGCCTGAAAGCGAATCCACAATAAGGTTGAGCGCTGTTCAACTCTGCACATTTTTATATGCCTGTTCCAAGTCAGAAGACTGTCTGGTTTTTTGTTTGATATTTTGTGATCTCGGTCCCTTTATAGCTTAAAATACGGTATGAATCTTGCTTGTTGTTGAAGGCTGAATGCTGATCTTTAATTTTTGTCTTTAGTATTTAAGGATGGCTGTCTCATTAGTTAGCCACACCAATTGTCAAAAGTCTAAATGTAAAGGAACAATAATTCGAGACAACAGAAAAACAATCCTTCATAGATGCCGACCCTTCGACGAAACAGATCGCTTTTAAATAACAAATAGATAAACATATAAACCACAAA